AGAGGTTGCAATTCCTGTTGCTTCTCAGGAATGTGTTTATTTAAGACAAGAGTACTGTAATTCTTTCGGCATTTATCTTTCCAGCGAACACTGTAGTTGGACATCTTGAGGCTTAGTTGGAGGACTGTTTAAGTAGCGTTTGAACACTGAGTTGACATTACAGTGAGTGTTAAACAGGAACAGATTCTGTGTTAACTCCAGTAGCATGTTGTCCTTCATCACGTGCTCGTATCCACATACGTGTTTCTTTTCCTGCTATTTAATTGTCTGTTTGGCCATGTCAGCTCAGCAGCCAAAAAGCTTTCTGGCTTTATTTACTACTTGTTTTGTCATGTGGCTGTTGCCCAACCATTTTTCTCTATAGTCTAAACGCCTGCCTGATATTCTTCAGAGTTGCACAGTAGCTGCTGTAAAGCTTTGCATTTTGCAAAATAAATATTTCTGGAGCCAGCGTAGCCAATGTGTAAAAATAGAAGGAAGATATATACTCACTGTACTAAAGTACAGCGCACTAGTCAAGTTGATGTACTTGGTGCTGTGCAGCTTGCTGTGTTCTCTTTGCCCTCTCTCTGCTGGGATGTCTTGTCTTGCCTTGCCTTTTTTGGTCCTTCTCCTAAAGTTCAGTGTATGTTGCTCTAGGAAAGTAGTACAAGACAAGGATGAAATGTGGTGCTAAGCGAAAGTAAAAGATGTAGTTGTAGTGGCTCGTGAGAGCATGCTGTTAAAGGAAGAGTGGATGAAACATTCTTTGACTTCTCCATTTTCTTCCTGACTAAATAACGTAGGAATTTGAAGGTCATTGAAATAGCCATACAACTTTCAGTGTTTTAACTAAAATTTCTATTTATCATTGAGTGTGCATAATGAAAAATTTCCCTATATCTCTAGCTACGCTTCTGGTTTTACCCCTTTGAAAACTCCTAAGCCCTCAACTGGAGTTCTAATACAGTACTGCCATTCTACCTCTTTAAAAACATGTCCCTGATTTGGATTTAGCATGTTTCTGACAGTAGTTCTGCTTCACTTCCTTTCTCATACATTGTAAAAGAAAGTTTAGAAAGGTTGTGAGGGTTTTACTGTTACATTTTGCTAATGGGATTCCGTGATACAACTTTTAAAATAAATATTATGCTGAAGGATGCAGAAGTTCTTTTAGCATTGGATGATGATTATAAATATTTTGATAAAGATTTTCTTTTCTTTGTAGCATGTGAACCACATGGATATGTTAGAGTAGTACTTGAGGGAGAGTTCTTTGTATAATAAATATTTGCAATACTGTGGGCACATTCATATTAGCTTAATGTCTTTTATATATATATATATACACACACCCCAAAGTAATCTTGTTATGGAAAAATAGTGGCTAGGAGATGGGATGAGAGAAGAGACTTCCTTATGGAATCCTATTTAAAAGTGATTGTGGGGTAGAGAAGAAAACAGTGTCATACATGAAGTGTATGGTCATATGAAATACAGGAAGGTTTGTTAGTGCCACTTAGTTATTTTTGTGTAATACAATGAAAATCTGTCCATTAGTAGTGGAATAATTTTTTGCCTGTTGACCATCTGTAAGAAGCCCTTCATAGGCAAATTACTGTGTGGGATTAACTAAAACCAGGTGTGTGCTGGCCTCTGGCACTGGTGGAGATTACTACATCTGGTAGTGAGAATAAGTTTTGTGATGGACATAAGCTTATGTGGCACTGAAGGATTCAAAAGACTTAGAAGTTTTTGGTTTTGTTGCCTCTTAGGAGCTAACCAAATTTAAGGATGTGTGAGTGGAAAGGGGGCTAGTTATTAAACTAGTGGGCCCTTGGATTTCAGTAAACCAGATGGTAGCCTCAGGCTGTTCAGTCTCTAATTAGAAGTGACCTGTTTGAATTAATTACTTCAGCATCTCAATTAACAAGGCAAAATCTGTGGAAGAAAACTTTCCACTGCAGTAAGCTAACTTCAAAGAGTAAGATGGAAAAGAGAATGGAAGCATTTGATGCGACTGTATAGCTTTGTTTGGATTTGCAATTTGATCATGCCTCCTGATACCTATTCCTTTTACTGCAAATATTTGTAAATGTTCTGTTTCTATATTCTTAAATATACTAATCTTCAGTGTATCCTTCAATGTTGTTTCTCTCTTCACAGTCATTGGCGACCCGCTAAACCTGTACTATGTCTGTCACAAATTTGGCTTTCAGCATGGCCTTTTTCTTCCTAGCATTTAAATAACATTCACCACTCTTCCTCTTTAACGTCCTCCATGCTAGGCCTGATTGGTTTGCAGCTTTTCTACAAACACCACTTGGTCTTACAGTTTGGTTTTTTCCTTTCCTTTGGTATTTTTGTGTTTTGCTAGTGTTACAATTTCTAAAGAAAACAGTCTGTTTCCTTGGTTTTGTTGTAATGCCTTTCATAAACTACCTCATTTTGCTTTCAGATCTTTGGCTGTAATTTTCACCGCTAGTGTTGATGTACATAATCTAACAAGAGTGTAGAAAAAAATAGCAGTTTCTTGAAAACTCACTATATTGCTTTGAAGTACTAATAGACTTTCTGTATAGTTTAAGCAAATGTAGTCTAAAGTTAAGTGTTTTGATATGCAGTAATTTATTAACACTGAACATGTGCATCTCCTTTGTATATACAATAAATTCTATGATGATGGAGCAGTTATTGTACTTGGGCACAGTGCATTGATGTTTTCGTCCAAAGAAGCACGCTTTTGCCATGCCTAGAAGTAGATGGGGAGGCTGTATACTTGGGAAATTGTACTATCCCAGCTGCTTCAATTTACATGTACTATTTACGTATACTTTTAAAGAAAAGGAGGGGAGAGTATCAGAAGGTGGAGGGGAAGAAATTGGATGTTTGTGAAGTATATTTTCAAAGTGTATATGTCTCCAAATTTCTTTATAGATTTTTAAGTACAGTGACATAAGTAACTTGTATAAACTGTAGTACTGTTTGGCAGTAGTTATAGATTTTTAATACTGACTTCTATTTTCCAAATTTTTCATAGGTCTGTAACCAGTGATGAAGGATCCGTGAATGCATTCACAGGAAGGGGGTCACCTGGTAGGGGTCAAAAGACTAAAGTCTGTACCACACCTTCATCTGGTCATGCTGCATCTGTGAAGGATTCAAGCAGCAGATTGCCTGTTACAGACCCCACTCGGCCTGGTGCCACCACCAAAATCACCACCACCTCCACCTACATATCTGCCTCTACACTTAAAGTTAACAAGAAAACCAAAGGGCTCATTGATGGCCTTACTAAGTTCTTTACACCATCACCTGATGGTCGCAGATCACGAGGTGAAATAATAGACTTTTCAAAGCACTATCGTCCAAGGAAAAAGGTCTCTCAGAAACAGTCATGCACTTCTCTTGTGTTGGCTACAGGTACCACACAAAAGCTAAAACCTCCACCTTCTTCACTTCTACCCCCAAACCCCATCTCTAGTCAGAGCCCCAGTTTGCAAAAATCCAGCACTTCCACTTCTTCTAACTCTCCCCAAAGTTCTTCCAGTCAGTCAAGCATACCCTCCTTTAGTAGCCTTCCTAATAACAGTCAGCTAAAGGGACTCTTTGATGGACTCTCTCATATCTATACTACTCAGGGACAGTCTCGAAAAAAGAGACACCCAAGCTATGCACCACCCAAGCGTTTGCATCGTAAAGCAGAATTATCTTCCGCATCAAAATCTGATAACCGTTTCTATGGAAAGAAAGAGGTTAGGAGTAGGTGTATTTCTCATGCCTGTACCTCAGTATGGGGTGTGTCTAGAGGACATGCTTTTAAGGCAATTGCTCACCTCAAGAGAACAACTTTTCTTAAAAAGCACAGAATTCTAGGCAGATTAAAGTATAAAGTGACCCCTCAGATGGGGACCCCCTCACCAGGGAAGGGGAGCTTGGCAGACGGAAGGATTAAACCTGATCAGGATGATGGTAAGCAAAGGTCAAAGCGCCAACCAAACCTGCGTCCCGTCCAAAACCAGAATTCTTATATTGTCACATAGGTCTTAGCTATTTCTCTTGTTCTTACTTCACTTTCATACAAAAGCAATGAAACTTTGACCTTTTATCTAATGCTGACTAAATCTCCAAAACGTTTTGGGTTTGTTGTCGTTTTTGTTTGGTTTTTTTTTTTTTTTCTCCTGACTAATACCAAACCACCTTTTTATTATTTTTTGCATCTGTAGTGACACCAGGAGCCCCAAATGCCTTCATAATGTTGCTTATGGCTGTGTAGTACCGCATGAGTAGCCACTTTTCACGCTCCTTCCTTGTTCTTCCACTGCCCTTTCTTTGACAGTAGTGCTGTCATCATGATTGTGTGCTGTCAGTGCTTATAATGGTGGACGTTTCAGTTCATTTTTCTCTGCTCCATTGCTTTTTCATGAACAATTCCATCCTGCCACAGTCTCCACAACACTTGGTCTGTACTGCTGTGAACTGCCTTCTTTTATAATTACTTTTATTTAAGACAAAAATATAATGGTTGAATGTAGACGTAGCTTAGCATTGGTCTCCAACTTCTAAGAGCGATTTCTTTTCTTATTTTTATTTTTACCTTGTAGAGTATACTGGAATTTATCAAGTGGCATAGTTCTAGTAATAGAATATATTCCATTTCACGAAGTTCAAAACTAATTTAATAGAACTGGACTGTAAAGGCTTAGACAGACAAACAAGCAAGTACCAAAAATAGCTCATGCAACAGCAAACTACAAAAGAAGAAGGGGGGAAGGTTTCATTTCTGTTACTTAGTAATCCCAAATTTAGTCAAAATGGGGAGTCACAACAGCCATAGTTGTTACAATCCTATTTAGGAGTATTACTTTGTAAAGGCACGTGTAACCTCCATGTCTGTTAATGAACTTTTTGCTGGTTTTAAATAACAGATACTGAAATCAAACTAAGCATCAAACAAGAAAATATGGATGTATTTCTGGTGGGAAGCAAGGACACTGTCACACAGGAGGATTTGGAAGTATTTAAGCAGGCTCGAGAGCTTTCCCTGGAGGTAGGAATCATGTTGCATAAAATGTAGTTATTTCTGTAAATAAAATATCAGTTAATTTTCATAGGTCTATTCATCTTCATTTTTAATACATTCCTTTTAATCTAATGTGTCATGCTTGCTGTGAATTTAATTTTGGAGACACTGTATATACAGTTGCTTTCTCCTAGATAGGAGACAAGGCATCACACTGGAATGGGTCAGATGATAAGTGACACTTGGGATAAATTTTGAAAGATATACTTGAGCATTTTGGACACAGGACTACTACTGATTAAGCATAGCGATTAAGTGTAGCTGACATCCTGGTCAGGACTGAGAGAATGTTGGACAGTAAGAATGTGTCTGATGATTTTCCTCTGCAGATTAAGCAGCCACTGTGAAAAGTTAAGTCTGTCCTGGCAAATACTGTTTGGTAGGAAACTGAGCTTAGCGAGTCCATAACTTCATTTTACCCCGTGATTTAACACACTTCGAGTTTAAATACTATAAACTTTTTCTAGCAGTGAAAATATTTGAGGTTAATCTGACTAAAACTGTTTATACTAGCTGGTGTTAATGCTTTTCTTTAAGGTATGTAGTGACAATCTAGAGCTTCTGGTGACTGAGCAGGTTTGGGTTTTTGGGGTTTATATTTGGTTTTCCTAAGGAAGCTGGACATGGCAGCTGAATCTTCCTATAGCAAAACAGACTCTTAATTTTCTGTATCTATGAAATGAGCAACCAGTGTCGTTGAGAACCTGGGTCAGAGGGAGGTGCATGCAATGTTTCAACTGCTGCTTTTTATGAAATTGCATCATAAATATGTGTTGTACTTTTTTCAGTAATGGAAGTCACTTGATTTTGTTTCAGGTTTAATGTACAAGAACTAACATTACTTGCTGCGTGACCTATTTACAGTCTTTTTAGAGTGTGTTAACCAACAAACCCAGTTTAAAGATTCAAGTTTGTTATTAGTTTGTACTTCTGTTTCCTCGTGGAAGTGGTTCCCACCTCTTCCTTTCTTTGTCTTTCATATGCAGTCCAAAAATGTTAGGTGGTGAGATTTCTAAAATTCATGCCTTGGAAATAACTACCTTCCCCCATTTCTTCCTTTTTGGTATTTTGCCAGCCCTTTAGAGTCTAGCGCTTGTTTTCTGATCAACTCAACTTCAGTATGATAGCCAAGATTAGTGTGTGTTAGTATACTGTTGACTGTTAATGAGGTAAATTGAAAGGACTGGAATTCACTGGAAGAGTTGTGCTGATGCCTTCTCTCTCATCGTTTTGACAAAAGGACAGCTTTGAGTTTGAACCAGAACTGTAGAGAAGTCCTTGTGGTAGATGCTGTGGAAGAAGAGAACCAAGGCAGTTATACCTCTTATTTAGCTGGCCATGCACCATCTATTTCTATGCAGTTAACTTGCAAACACTGCACAGTTAAGTTCATGTTTAGTTGTTTGGCACCTTGAAAAGAATTTTCACTGTTCATATTTGACTGTTTGCAAACCCTGTCGTCCGTCTGTCCAAGTTGGAAGAACTTAAGCAGCTGATTTGAATACTTCAGGTTTCTCACACCTTCAGTGGGTGAAATTGATGATGTAAAGCTAACTTTCCTGTTACTTTTTCTATAACTAATATTTTGCTTTTATTGTATCTGACAGAAAATTGGGTGTAAAAACACTGGTGAAACAAGTGGGCGATACCCTTCAGTGATTGAGTTTGGAAAATACGAGATTCAGACCTGGTACTCCTCACCTTATCCACAGGAATATGCAAGGTAGAAGTTGTCAAGATTATCATACGTTGTTTACTAACGTGATAGTTGTAATTTATTTTCTTACTTTTTTTGTAATTGTTTACAATTTACATCTTTTAAAAGTAAATATGCTTTTGTAATTGTGAGAACAAGGATTTGTCTGGGTTTTTTTGTTTTGTTTTTTGTTCTAATCAAAAATGCATTAAAAATACTGATTTTCCTAGTCTTGCATAAACATAATCTTGCAGTGTGTATTGGTATGTTTTTGTTCGAGGGGTCTTTTTGTGGGTTTTTGTTTGGATTTTGTTTGTTTGTTGAGTTTGAGTTTGTGGGTTTTGGGGTTTGTTTTGTGTTTTGTTTTTTCTTTTTAAATCGTTGCAACCAGATATGTCCAACTTCTGGCTATTTATAGCAATTAATCTTGTTTGACATCCAGAATTTATTAACCTACTTTTTCTAGGGACCAGAGAGAAGTCTGAGCATACTAGATAAAATAAAGTCCAAGTGAGCAAGTTGTGGCAACAGTTTATCATTTCTGGTCTTCTTTGCCAGGGCACACCTCAGAGTCAGGCAGAGAGCATGAGCTAATGTGTGTGCTCAGCAGGTCTCTGCTGATTTTTGCATGTACTGAAAATAAGTGTTTCATGAATCCGTTGGATCTGTGGCACACATGGAACTGTATGTTTATCAAGCTCTACTACTATAGGAAGCAGCCAAGTTGTGTGATCTGTTCCAAAACTCTTCTGCATAGTGTTTTTGTAAACTGCCTTATCTCTCCATCCCTCTTATTCCTAGATATTGTCTTTGTGTGGTGGGAATGAGGGATATATCATGAATGGGTAATATGAAAATCGAGGGCTAAAAAAAGCGTTGAGAGCATCTTGATTTCATCTATTACCACTGCTTTTATAGTGTTAATATTTTATTTCAGTTACTTTTATATTATCTCAATTTATATCATATTGAGAAAGAGAGAGTTACCTGTTCCATCAAGTAAATTAATCCTAGATAGAGGCATAATGATGAATAATTATTAGTATGAGGCAACAGTGGAGTAGCATCTGTAGGAGGCAGTGTGGTTCTTGGCTCTGAGGGATTATGTTGTGGCACAAACAGTTCCAACTACTTTTTGTGTTGTTAATAAATTTACTTGGAATACTGGTATAGTGTGAACTATGGCTATGATCCCAACATGATCCCAGGATGTGCCAGTAGCTTCAGAGCAGATAAAGATTGTCCTCTGTTCTAAAACTTTGTAGACTAATTAGTTTCTGCAGCAGTCTTCCACTGCTTCAGTAATTTAAAAATGAAGGTAAATAGCCATAAAGTTTACTGAAAGGAGCAGTTTCTGGTATGTAGAACGCTTGTCAGCATTATCGTATATGGAGCATGTGGGTTACTTGTATGTAGTCTGAACTGAATCCTTCCTGGAGGAGTACAGTCATTTGTTGCCTGTGTCATGGAGGTGAGTGGGAGATTCTTTGCCTATATGCAAACCGTTTGAATGGGCTTCTGTGTTCGATTAAAGTGATAGTTTAGGTGCAGGTGAGGGGGTACAGTCCTACTACAGTTTGCTGTCCCACACAAGTGTTTCAAAGGCAGTGGAAAGAAAAACTATTTCCTAGCCTTCCCTGTGTACAAAATAAGGGGAAGGAGATTCCCTGTATTCTGCTGTGTGCCTCCTGTGTCCTTACTGGAAGGAGGAGGGCGAAAGTTGAGGTATGAATCCAGTGTGCCTGCTTTGATAGAGACCGCAGGAAATTTTAGGTGGAATGTGGGAAGGAGGAAGTAACTGGGGTCTGCCGGAGGCTGGACCACAAAACAGCTGACTGTAGTCCAACTTTATTGAATTAGGTTCATTGTGATTGATTGAAACTGAACTTCTCTTTTCTTCCCTTTCTAATGGCTGATGTGTGTATGTTTAATCATTCATTTGAATGCATTTTTTATTTATTTTAAACTTAAGTAGCATTTACTCATGGTGCCTTATATTTAAATGGGGAGGGCCTTTCACTTTGTGGTAACTTTTTTGTTTACAGAATTAAACAAATCTTTTGTGTAAAATATCTTTCTAATTTTCATACAGATTACCAAAGCTTTACCTGTGTGAATTCTGTCTCAAATACATGAAAAGTAAAAACATTTTGTTAAGGCACTCAAAGAAATGTGGCTGGTTTCATCCTCCAGCCAATGAAATCTACAGAAGAAATGACCTTTCAGTATTTGAGGTAGGTATGTCAGAGTCTAAACTGTGGAAAGTAACCGGTTTGTAGACTATTACAGACCAGTTGTAGAACTGGCAAAAACTTGAACACACTTAAATACTTCCTTGGAGATTCTTCTTATGCTGCAAAAACAAGTCCATCTTCCCTGACCTCTTCCACCCTGCCGTGCTGTCACAATTCTTACTTTCTTTACTTGTACTTCATGAATGACCCCACCTCTTAAGATGTTTGTATAGCATGCGTCTTGGATGGGGACCGCAATGGAAGCTCTTTGACTGAATTGCCTTTCCCTTCTCAGCAAAAGTACTTCTTGCACCCATTCATTTCTGGCTATTTGAGTATCTTGGGTGTAGGGAGGATTCTAATCATAATGTAGATGCTTCCAATGTATAAAAGCATGCAAAGCAGTTTCTTGTGTATTGTTCTAAAAATGTAGCTGTTAAGTGCTTTTGCCTTCCTTTTGTATGTTTGAGAAACTTGCCCTGAAACATCCTGGTTGGGTGACAGAGGTTCAGTCCAACTTTGGCCAGAACACACTGCCTTTAATTTAGAAAGTCCAGCGTTAAGCTTGTGGATATGTATTCTTTTCTAATCTAAGTTATTCTCTTGGGAGACGACTTCTATTAAAGTTTGGGATTTTAAGGATATCCTGGACAGTAGAATTCTGTGTTTCAAATAACATGCCTGCAGTTACTAAAGCTGTGCCTTAACCTCCACGTTTGTATATCTCAAGAGTTGTTACTGATTGCATTAACAGAAGAGACTGCCAGGGTTACTAGGTCTTCTTTTCAGACTGTTTATCAACAGCAGTATTTACGTGTATGTATATTGATAACTTCTTTTTAATTGTAGATATCATAGATTCTACTTGAAGCTTGTGTTTTCATATTGTATAAATGTCTGTTGTGCTTGGTTGTTGCTGTTATCTGTTTAAACAATGGTAGATGCAGTCTTGAAGTCCTTACTTAAATTAGAACAAGATCTTAATATTTAGTTCTCTTGTTTGTTTTTATGCTATTAAAAAAAAAAGCTATCTGCATCAAGATTGCTTCCTTCCTGACTTGGGCAGTTTTCATAGAGATGGTAGATCTGCCAGCAGAAAAGTTGAGTTGTAAACAGACTTAACTCTTTTCCTGTCAAGAAATGAAATTGTCCTAGTCAGCCCAAAATAACTTACACATTCTCTATTAGCAGGTGTTAAGAGCTGTGCAGCGTACAATGGGCAAATCCTGCTTTCCAGTTTATTTTCATTAGCTGCTACCAACACATGAATAAAAACTTCTTAAAAAAAAAAAAAGTAAAATACAGCTCTGAGAAAGGGATGGAGGATCAACACAAAAACCACATGGAAAATAGGATGCATGTGAAAGCCATGTCGTGACTCTTTCTCCACTACTTTTATTCCCTTTCTGTGTTTTAGGCACTACAATAAGCACCTATATTAAGACTTCTGAAATAAAGTGGATTTTTCAATTCAGAAGTAAATGTCAGTTGTTACTCTGGTAACTGTAGAAACTTACTCATCAGTTGATGTCCTTCCTCACAGATACTTTCAGGAATTCTGTGCACCCATTTTCTGTTTGACAGAATGAAGGGTTTGTGGTTTCCCTTATGCTTTCTGGTTTTGAGAGAAATAGAAATGAGTTTGGCCTTTAAGATTTATATACCACTGCGCAGAGCATGACTTTGACAGATTTGAGAGAAGACTTTGACATAGGTTACTACCATGCTATATACAAGAAACTTTTGACAGATGCTTGCTTTTAAAGTTGCAGTCTCTCAGGTTTTTTGCGGTTGTTTCACACCCTACCCCTGCATTTAAAACTGATGAACAAGCTGTGTTTACCTGGAATTGAGGTTGACATTTCTGTACAAATGTTCTTACTGAAAAGGCTTATGGCTTACCCAGTGAAAATTTCTACTTGGTTAATGTTTGCGTTTAATTTGCACACTTGCTAATAAGTGTGAAAAGGAATAAAAAGCATCTGGACAAATGGAGTGAGTTGTATGAGAGAGCTTAATATATTTGAAATGTTCGAGTGCTGTGTGCAAGTTTATTCTGATGCCTTTAGGAGCAGTAGCTGTCCATTGAATTTTTTTTCTTTAATCCAGATAATACAACTACACTACTGAAGTCACCTTGAAATACTTAAATATATCCAAAAGGTTGGGTTTTACTCGGATTTGTAACTAGGATTCTTAATAAAAACAAATTAGTATAGAATATGGCTGCTTCTTCTGCACAGTGTGCATACTATTTGGCTGTCTCTATGAATGAAATATAGCTAGTGACTTATCAAAGAACAGTACAAGCAAACCTTTCCATTAAGATGATTATTTCAAAAATGCCGTTGCCTTTGACTGATCCTTCCCTTTGAGAGAGTAACTAATTGATCTAGGAAGTCTGCCTCTGTGTCTGGCTTTTCTGTAGCTGTCTGAGTCACAGCTTGACTCTTTACACTCGTAACATACCTAGACTAATTGTAGTACTTAGCCTGAAAATTTAGTTATCTTGCTCAATAGCGTTTTAGTCTAGCATAGAAATTTTTTCCTGTCTAATTTATTTAAAACATTGCTGTGATTGGTATGTAATTAGCAACTCATTCATTGGCCTTACAACTTAAGGATTCAACATAATACACTTCTTTGTTTTCTTGGTTGTTTCTTTTTGTTGTTACACACCACTGCTTCTAGCAAACCACAGTTTAATGTTGTTTTAACTAGAACATTTTTGTTATCTGCCAGTTGTTCATTTTCATTCCAGGAATGAAGTAAAAGAGGTAAGTCTCACTTGAACAATTAAAAGGTGAGGTTACTTTGTTTAATAAATCCAGATCTTTGGAGGATACTTACAAATGCAAAGTAGTTAATACTAACTGGAGAATTCTCATTTAACAACAAGCTGGGTAGTATTTCTTCTGAACATTTGCGTGTTGGGTTTTTTCCGTGACACCATCTCGTTCATGTTTCCTTCTAGGATATGATTGATTCAAGAAGTTGCTTTGTCCTAATATGTTGACGGCATTGGAAATAACTGCATCTGTCTTGCTTTCTAGGTTGATGGAAATGTGAGCAAAATATATTGTCAGAATCTTTGTTTGTTAGCTAAGCTCTTTCTGGACCACAAAACCTTATATTATGATGTTGAACCCTTCCTCTTCTATGTCCTTACAAAAAATGATGAGAAAGGCTGCCATTTAGTTGGATATTTCTCTAAGGTAAAAAAAAAAAATTTTGGTTTTTATTTTCTATAAATCTCAAATACCATGTGCATTGTTTCAAATACACTCATACTTTTGTGTCTCAAAGACAGATGCAAATTGAGAAATTGTATGTGCATTCAGCCACATGCATTGGGATTTTTTTTGTTGGTTTGATAGTGGGGGTTTTTTGTTTTGTTTTCCAGAATGTGTTGTTCTTTCAGTTGAAAATTAAATCTTTTTCCTCCCCCTACCATTTTTGCCATAGTATACCAAGTCTAACTCCTTAAAGTGCTAAGTATTTGAAATGTTGATGTGTTTTCATGGCTTTACTGCTGGGAGTTCAGGCTGGCTATTTAGACATAAATGGCCATCTGTATTCCTCTCTAGTGTATAGTCTGATCTAATGCAGTTACTCACTGCACTGACTGTAAGAATGTGGTGCCTAACTTTATGGTGGATGCCTTGTTTGGAGTGGATGTCTTTATTAGTTGTGGTTTTGCTTTGAATTTTAAAGCAATATATGGCTGCCAGAGACAAAAATAATACTTACGTGGACTATCTTGACAAACACGACCAAAAAGAATGAAGTATAATTAGATGTGTCTGCAACAGGAGAAGCTTCCATTAGTCAGTTTGTGTATAAGAAATAAAATATAAAGTAATAAATTGGTATAATTACTCAGAAATTGAGTACTTCTTACACTTGGCTTTATTTAAGAAGTTATTTGTATGAAGATATTACTTTGAAAAAGTTTAAAAAATTGTGTCAGAGTACCTGCATGATGTAGCGATCTCTTGGGGATCTGGCTGATTCCTTCCGAGCCGTGAACCTTGATGGGATTAAAATAACAGTGAGATGTGTAGGCACAATTTGCACTCTCTTATGTCGGTCAGAAGTTCTTACAGCATACAAACATGTTAACTCTGACATAGGCAAGTATTTTCTAGTAGATTTATTTAAGGTACTGCAGGTGTTAAGATGAGTTTCCCTTGATTTTTTTGTTTGTTTGTTTCTCCTTTCAGCAAGGATGCATTTTCTTCCTCTGTTTCACCCCTGTTGCTTTTGGCCAGTCTGTCTGTCACATCTGATGATCACGAAACTACCAAAACTTAGGGCAAGAAAACTTTATCTCAGATTCTAC